AGGGATTAGGAATGGGATCATGCTGGGGAGAAGGGATTAGGAATGGGATCATGCTGGGAAGGCTGGTAGGGATTAGGAATGGGGTCCTGCTGGGAAGGGCAATAGGGATTAGGATTGGGATCATGTTGGGAAGAGCAGAAGGGATTAGGAATGGGATCATGCTGGGGAGAAGGGATTAGGAATGGGATCATGCTGGGAAGGGAAGTAAGGATTAGGAATGGATCATGCTGGGAAGACCAGAACTGGGATCATGCTGGAAGGAAGAATTCCAGAGTTGCTCCAGCAAAATGTGGCTTGGGAGCCTTCAGGTAAAGGAATGGTGTCCATGTGCTCCATTGTTTTGGGAAAGCTGGAGTAAAGGGCTTGGAGCCATGGTGGGCTCCAGAAATTTCGGGTTCCATTTGATGGATCAGAAGAAAGGGGCTACACTCACCACCTCGAACCACTTGACCAAAGTGCTGAAGTTGGGGTTTTTCTTGTAGTTCTGGATCAGGGCAGACTGGACGCCCTTCCCGGCACACTCAATGTCCACGCGGGGCCGGTCCACCTGGGCCAGGTTCACTCTCTTCAGGTCCCTGAGCCCCCAGAACAAGATCTAGGGCAGGAGGAGGAGGGAGCATGTGAATGAGAGAGGGATGATCCCTGGAAGCTGGTTCTCCAAGGAGAGGGATCCCACTGCTGATGTCATCACAGGGCAGCGGTGGATCCCTGAGGTGTCTCCTCCTGGCACCCTGCAGCCCAAGGTCGCCAGCCTGCTGCCTTCAACATTTTCCTGCCTTTCTCCCTTCCTGGCCTTTTCCTGCCCTGGGAATCCTGCTCTGTCCATCTGTGGTGGCTCTGGATCCAGCACTGCCATCGCTTTGTCCCAATGGAATCAGTGTCCCTGGGGAAACTTCCCTGACCCAGCCTGGGATAACAGACTGCCACCATCCAAAATTCCCCAAAACAGAGATTTTCCCCACCTCCTCATTCCCCATGGCTGTATTAAAATTGTGAGGAACATTTATTGTTATGCAAATGTGTGGAAAACCAGGAGCCAAAATCCCTCTGGCAGATTTTCCCCACCTCCTCATTCCCCATGGCTGTATTAAAATTGTGAGGAACATTTATTGTTATGCAAATGTGTGGAAAACCAGGAGCCAAAATCCCTCTGGAGACTTGAGCAGTGGCATCTCACCTGAGCAGAGACACCTTCACCCCGGGCTGAGATGTGCCCTGAACATCCCTGTGGGCATTGCCTGGGTCACGGATGTCCACCAGGACCTCCAAGGGACACGTCACAGAACCATGGAATAATTTGGAAAAATCCTCCAGGACCATCCAGTCCAACCTGTGACCAGCCCCCACCTTGTCCCCAGCCCAGGGCTGAGTGCCACATCCAGAGTTTAAACCCTCCTGGCTGTCCCCTCCTGTCATTAAATATTTATATATATATCAATATATATTTTAATTAGAGGAAAATAAACAATAATTTGAAGATCAATAAACTAAAACTCCTATTTGCTTTTCACTCTTACTACAAAACTTTTTAGGGCTCTCCTCACACCACTTGGGACCACCAAAGTGCTGAAGTCAGGGTTTTCCTTGGTGCGGGAAATTTCCGCGGGTTAGCCGAGCATCTCATTTTCTCACGGCCCATCCCAGCTCCCTCGTGTCCCCGCGGATGTCCCAGACCGGGTCGCCGTGTCCCAGTCCTGGTACCTGCCATGTTCCAGTGCTGGGCTTTCCTGTCGGGCGGGCGGTAGATGAACTTGCGGAGCGAGCTGACGGTGTGCGAGCCCACCAGGGTGTAGCGGCCGAAGGCGCGGCAGTCCACCACGCGGATGTTCAGGGGCGGGTGCAGCAGCTCGTTCTCCGGGAGGTCCTGGGGAGCGGAGGGAGGGTCAGCGAGGGCTGGGAGTGGATGGTTTGGGGATGGGAAGGGCACGGGGGGGTTTGGGAATGGGATTGTGTTGGGGAGAAGGGATTAGGAATGGGATCAGTCTGAGAAGGCTGGCAGGGGTTAGGAATGGGATCATACTGGAAAGTGCAGTAGGGATTAGGAATGGGATCATGCTGGGGAGAAGGGATTAGGAATGGGATCATGCTGGGGAGGAGGGATTAGGAATGGCATCATGCTGGGAAGGGCAGTAGGGATTAGGAATGGGATCATGCTGTTTGGGAATGGGATTGTGTTGGGGAGAAGGGATTAGGAATGGGATCAGTCTGAGAAGGCTGGCAGGGGTTAGGAATGGGATCATACTGGAAAGTGCAGTAGGGATTAGGAATGGGATCATGCTGGGGAGGAGGGATTAGGAATGGGATCATGCTGGGGAGGAGGGATTAGGAATGGCATCATGCTGGGAAGGGCAGTAGGGATTAGGAATGGGATCATGCTGGGGAGGAGGGATTAGGAACAGGATCATGCTGGGAAGGCTGGTAGGGATTAGGAATGGGGTCCTGCTGGGAAGGGCAATAGGGATTAGGATTGGGATCATGTTGGGAAGAGCGAGCTGCCCCCAGCACTGGAGGTGCCCCAGCAGTGCCAGCACAGGGGATGGGCACTGCCCTGGGTTTTGCCCACTCTATTTTGGATACAAAATCCCCCTTTAGATATCCCTGGATACATGAGAGTCTTCCCATCCTCATTGCCTGAGGCTGATGGGATACAGAACACCTGAGCTATGGGATTGCTTTGGGAGCAGATGATCCAGCTCCATGTCCATCTCTAACATTCCCTGAGCTGCATCTCAGCCCAAGTGCTGCTCACTCGCTGTCCTGCCCAGGTTTGACAGCAAGGAATGGTCCAATTCCCTGTTTTTTTAGGGATGCTGCAGCCTGGTTCCCAGAATGGCCACCACGGACAGATCCTTGACTCCCAGCTCCCTCCTGCCCTTCCAACACCCTTGGAGATGCTCTCCTGCCCCAGGCAGGACATTGGTTACCTCCACTCTGTATCTGCTCAGCACCGGCCGAATTCCCAGGGGCACAGGCAGGATGGGACCTCGGTCCATGTCCGTGGGGCCGTCGATGGGGGGCAGGTCTGATTTACCCCCAGGGCCGATCTGGAAGAGGCGGATCATGGATTAGGATCTGCACCTCTGAGCTGCCGGGAAGCAGTTTTTGGTCCTTCTCATGAAATTGTGGAATCACAGGTTGGTTTAGGTTGGAAGGGACCTCAAAGATCAGCTCATTCCCACCCCCTGCCATGGGCAGGGACAAATTCCAGTGTCTGGAATTTGGGTGCTGGGCTGTGTCTCAGCTGGAACTGGTCCCACTTGTTGGAGCTGGGGTGTCTCAGAGGGCTGAGAGCCCAGGGCAGGTGCTTTGGGAAGAGGAAAACACAGGAGTAAAAGGTACACAGAACAGCCCCTGGAGCAATCCAAACTCCTCAGCCCACCAACGCAGCCCATCCCAGGACTGTTCCATCCTGGAATGGATGTGTGTGAGGAAACAGAGATGTGGTCCCAGAGCTCAGCCCAGGAGAAGGTTTAAGATCCCATTTCCAGCCCAGGGCTCCAGAAAGATCAAATATCCCATGTGAGCCATTTCCCCAGTCCAAGGAAAATTGGGAGAAAAAGGGCTTGGATGAGCACCTGCCCAGGCAGAAAAAGCTGAAGGGAAAAGCATTTCAGCAGCTGGAGCACGAGGCACAAAAGTGGAAGAATTTAACTCTGTTATTTCCCCAGACTATGAATCATGGAATGGTTTGGGCTGGGAGGGACTTTAAAGACCATTGAATTCCAGCCCCTGCCATGGGCAGGGACAAATTCCAGAGGGAGCTGGGCTGTGTCTCAGCTGGAACTGGTCCCACTTGTTGGAGCTGGGGTGTCTCAGAGGGCTGAGAGGCCAGGGCAGGTGCTTTTGGAAGAGGAAAACACAGGAGCAGAAGGTGCTGGGAATTCCACACAGAACAGCCCCCGGAGCAATCCAAACTCCTCAGCCCACCAACGCAGCCCATCCCAGGACTGTTCCATCCTGGAATGGATGTGTGTGAGGAAACAGAGATGTGGTCCCAGAGCTCAGCCCAGGAGAAGGTTTAAGATCCCATTTCCAGCCCAGGGCTCCAGAAAGATCAAATATCCCATGTGAGCCATTTCCCCAGTCCAAGGAAAATTGGGAGAAAAAGGGCTTGGATGAGCACCTGCCCAGGCAGAAAAAGTCGATGGGAAAAGCACTTCAGCAGATGGAGCACAAGGCACAAAAGTGGAAGAATTTAACTCTAGTATTTCCCCGGACTATGAATCATGGAATGGTTTGGGCTGGGAGGGACTCTAAAGACCACTGAATTCCAGCCCCTGCCATGGGCAGGGACAAATTCCACCTTTCCAGGCTGCTCCAAGCCCCATCCCACCTGGCCTTGGACACTTCCAGGTGTCTTTGATGAACAACAAGTGGTTGATCCACCCAAGAGAAACTAAAAGGGTCTAGCAGACCAAAGACCAGGTGAGGGGGGCAGTTATTCCCGGTTATTCCCAGTTACCCAATTCTCCATAAATGAATCCTCTCTCCCTTCCAACCCTGCCTCCATCCTTCCCGTCCCTTTGTCCAGCTGGCACCTGGAGCAGCTCGAAGGCAGCCAGCAGGTCCCCGGCTGTGGCGTTGCCGCGGTAGATCTGGTAATATTCCAGCTGCGGCGGGAAGCGCGGCGGGCAGTACTGCTCGTCCGACATCTTCACCACTGGTTTGGCGAACGTCCGGCCCATGAAGTCGGCTTTTCCCTACGGAAAGAGACCTTGGGGTTGGGGATCCAACATGGGAATTCCAAATTTAGCCCTGTGGTTCTCTCCAAGAGCACTTGGGGTTGGGGATCCAACATGGGAATTCCAAATTTAGCCCTGTAGTTCTCCCCAAGAGCTCTTGGGGTTGGGGATCCAACATGGGAATTCCAAATTTAGCCCTGTGGTTCTCTCCAAGAGCACTTGGGGTTGGGGATGCAACATGGGAATGCCAAGACAAACCCTGTGATTTTCCCCAAGAGCACTTGGGATTGGGGATCCAACATGAAAATTCCAAAATTAGCCCCGTGGTTCTCCCAAAGAGCCTTCAGGATTGGGGATCTAACATGGGAATCCCAAAATTAGCCCTGTGGTTCTCCACAGGAGCACTTGGGGTTGGGGATCCAACATGGGAATTCCAAATTTAGCCCTGTAGTTCTCCCCAAGAGCTCTTGGGGTTGGGGATCCAACATGGGAAATTCCAAGACAAACCCTGTGATTTTCCCCAAGAGCACTTGGGATTGGGGATCCAACATAGGAATTCCAAAATTAGCCCCAAGGTTCTCGTCAGGAACACTTGGGGTTGGGGATCCAACGTGAAAATTCCAAAATTAGCCCTGTGGTTCTCCCAAAGAGCCTTTAGGATTGGGGATCTAACATGGGAATTCCAAATTTAGCCTTGTGGTTCTCTCCAAGAGCACATGGGGCTGGGGATCCAACACAGGAATTCCAAATTTAGCCCTGTGGTTCTCCCAAAGAGCCTTTAGGATTGGGGATCTAACATGGGAATTCCAAAATTAGCCCCGTGGTTCTCTCCAAGAGCACATGGGGCTGGGGATCCACCACAGGAATTCCAAATTTAGCCCTGTGGTTCTACCCAAGAGCTGTTGGGGTTGGGGATCCAACATGGGAATTCCAAAATTAGCCCCATGGTTCTCTCCAAGAGCACTTGGGGTGGGGATCCAACATGGGAAATTCCAAGACAAACCCTGTGATTTTCCCCAGGAGCACTTGGGGTTGGGGATGCAACATGGGAAATTCCAAGACAAACCCTGTGGTTTTCCCCAGGAGCACTTGGGGTGGGGATCCAACATAGGAAATTCCAAGACAAACCCTGTGATTTTCCCCAAGAGCACTTGGGATTGGGGATCCAACATAGGAATTCCAAAATTAGCCCCGAGGTTCTCGTCAGGAGCACTTGGGGTTGGGGATCCAACATGAAAACTCCAAAATTAGCCCCATGGTTCTCCCAAAGAGCCTTTAGGACTGGGGATCTAACATGGGAATTCCAAATTTAGCCCTGTGGTTCTCTCCAGGAGCACTTGGGGTTGGGGATCCAACACAGGAATTCCAAATTTAGCCCTGTGGTTCTCCTCAATGGCACTTGGGGTTGGGGATCCAACATGGGAATTCCAAAATTAGCCCCATGGTTCTCTCCAAGAGCACGTGGGGCTGGGGATCCAACACAAGAATTCCAAAATTAGACCCTGGTTTTCCCCAGGAGCCCTTGGGGCTGGAGGTCCAACACAGGAATTCCAAAATTAACCCTGCAATTCTCCCCACCGTGGTCAGAACAGGAATGGGATCAACGCTCTGGCCTTGGGATGCCTAAACTCACGAAAACTTAGTCCTGACTCCTTGAAGGAAGTTTGGGACAGCAGAAGGCTGGAACAGCAAGGAGGCCAGGGATGAGCGGTTTTCCCAAATGGAAACGCTCCTTGGCCACAGCCTCTTTCTTCCCTCTCCAAAAATAAGATACATCTGAGATTCATGAGCGGCAGAGGCTCCGTGGGAGATGTGGAAGGACCATTTTCCATGGATCAGGAAAAAAAGCTCCCCAAATCCTCTGCCCCCAAATCTGGAGAGATCCCAGCATCCGAACCACGCACAATTCCCTGGGATTTTCTCACCACGGTGTCCTGGTCGTAGATCTCGATGACGATGATGGGGGGGTCATCCCGCATCTCGTGAGCTTCCCCGTACAGCTCCACATTGTCAAACACCAGCAGCTGGTCCCAGGTCGGGCACAAGGTCTCGTTGAGAACCTGGGGAAATGGGAGACATTCCTACTGCTCCAGGAATGGACCAGGGTCCTGGGAAAGGGTGGCATGTGGGGCTGCTGTGTGTTTTTTGGATCAGGGAGGGATTGGGAATCTCCCAGGGATTCTTTTGAGGAAGACAATCCAATAGCAAATGAGCAGAGCTGGGTTGTTCCCAGGCTTCCTAAAGCTTGGCAACCCTCGGACTGGGAAGGGAAGACTGAAAAATCACTTTAACGCGACCCAGTTCTGCCTAAACCAGCAGGAAAAAACTGGGAATTATGGTTGTGTTCGAGGGTCCCAGGACGAGGGAAGAGATGAGAATCTTGACTTCATGTTTCAGAAGGCTGATTTATTATATTATGATATTACATTGTATTAAAATGCTATACTAAAGCTATACTAAAAAGAATAGAGGGAGAGGATCCATCAGAAGGCTGGAAAGGAAAGCAAAGGAATGATAACAAAAGCTCGTGATCCTCAGAGAGTCTGACACAGCTGCATCTTTGATTGGTCATTAAGTAGAAACAACTCACATGGACCAATCCAAGATGCACCTGTTGGTAAACAATGTCCAGACTACATTCCACAGCCATCAGATAGTTACTGTTTACATTTCTTTTTTGAGGCTTCTCAGCTAGAATAGGAGAAAAATCCTAGCAAAGGATTTTTACAAAAATGTCATGGTGACAAGGAACCACAGAGAATCATGGGGAATCACAGGGAATGGCAGCCACCAGGATGCGGGAGATAAACTGGGAATGGGCTTGGGGGAGATTGCCAGCTCCAGAGCTGCTCTCCCACCGCAGGAGCCCAGCACCAGCCTGATCCTCATTGACGGGATCTGTGCCGCGGGAACTGGCAGAGCCAGCCCTCCCCGCGCCCCTCCGTCCCCGCTCCCCAGGAACGCTCACCTCGGTGCACTGGCTCTGGGAGATGAAGAAGACCCGAGCGAAGGGGTCCGAGAGCCCGCTGCTGTCGGCGGCGAACAAACTCCTGGCTTGGTACATGTGGGCTCGCAGCTGGAACACCTGTTTCTCTGGAAGAGAGAGGGAGCGGGACGGGATGGCGTGGGATGGCCTCCGGGAGCCTGGATGTCCATACTGAGTCATGATTTTGAAGGGTTAATTGTTGAGGCGAAGACCCCATGTGTGGAGACACGAGGCTTGACTCCATTTTTCTCAGAAGGCTGATTTATTATCTTATATATTATACTAAAATGCTACATAAAAACTATACTAAAAGAACAGAGAGAAAAGAAAGATCAGAAGGACACAAAGAACAAGAATAGAATAGAATGCATAACAAAATCCTGTGACTGCTCACAGCCTCGGCAGAGGTGGCTGTGGTTGGTCATCAATTGAAAACAATCCACATGGACCAAATGGAAGATGCACTTGTTGCGTTCCACAGCAGCAACAGAGTTATTGTTTACATTTCTTTCCTGGGGCTCCCAGCTCCTCAGGAGGGGAAAAATCCTACAAAAGGATTTTTAATAAAATATCATAGCTACAGTTAATCATGATTTTAAGGGGTTAAAGTTATTAAGTGATTAAACTTCAGTGTTGAAGTCAGATACACCAACGATAGGTTAATGGTTATTAGATGCTTTAGCTAAAGCTAATTGTTATATCATGAGCTCGTTTGTAGAAGGAAGTGGAGCAAGTGAACCATCGTAGGAACATACTGTATTGGGAAGGGTGAAAGTTTGACAAGAAAGTCTCACAGACATGGATGCCTAGCAGAAAGATTTTTGAATGCAGAATCTGAAGAAGGAATAGAGATGGAAGCAAGTTTTGATATAGAAGAAAAGAATTGCTGAGCCAGTCTTGTAGGATAACCAAGGAGGCAAAGGGTCTGTTAATTAGAAGGGGTTTTTATGGTTTAGAGCAAAGGATAAATCCACCTCAAAGAAGAAGACGTTTTTTACCAAGCAGAAAAACAGCACAGGAAAACAAGCCTGCTGATGTTGCAAGTAGAAAAAAGGTCTCAGAATTTTCCACTGCAAGAAAACTGAAAAACAACTTCTGGCTTTAACCGTAATGTAATAACTTGTAGTGACTGGAGAACAGTGACATGAATATGGTAATTATAGTAGTTATGATGGGCTATAGGTAAAAGTCAAGGTATAGATTGGTTCTGCTGTATTGAGATGCTCAGCAAAGAAAAGTATATAATGCATTTGTAACCTAAACTAAGCTGCACAGGCTCTGTCACCCACAACCCTGGGCTGCTGCAACATCCTGGATGTAATAAACTGCATTTTGAAGAGCTGCCTGGAGTCCCACATCCCTCATTTTGGCTGTTGCTGTATTGAAACCAGTAGAACAATGCCCAGCACCTGGACTCTGTGTCAATCCATCACAAAGAGGGGCCTTGGATGGTGCAGAGGATCACAGAGACCTGACGAAGACATTCCTGACTTCATCCCTGCGACCACTGACCCAATTTGAGACCACTGACCCAATTCAAGAGAAGAATTGCTCATGTGTGAAGGACTAAAAACCTCATTTTAGTGCAAAGCGGGGATGGGAGGTGCTGGTGTTATGCATATGTATTATTTTGGGAATAAATAGAAGGCAAAAATCCTTGTGCGGTGCGGTCACGCATTTCAGCGACGACCCCCGTGCCGCCCGCCAGCACGATAAAAACATCACTTTACATCTTTGACCATCTTTCTATCTTTGTCCATGATTTTTGGTTTTAACGATTCAGCATCCCCATTCATCTGTTTAACCCAGAAATAATTTTTGCACCTTTAAGATTGGTTCTGAGAGCCAAGGTGGGGAGGAAGAAGCGCGGAGTTTGTTTTCAGACACTGCACTCACTCCTCCACATTCCTGCTCCTGGACTGTGTTGTCTGCGGACGGACAGACAGCGGGACAGAGCTCTCCTTTGCTTTCAGTTAGTTTTAGCTAGCTGAGGCAGGGAAGTTCTCTGGACTGTGGTTTTTTCTTTTTTTTTTGGAACTATTTAAACCTGCTCTGGACTGAACACCCAGTAGAGCAATGGCAGCTCCAACTGTGGCCGCCAGGCCCGGCCTGGGCCACGGCATTTCCAGCACCAGAGGGACTGATCAGAGACTGATCAGAGACTGAGTGAGCCGAGCTACAGCCCACACGAGGGATTTTCTGAGTTTGTCATCTCCTTTGAAGCAGCAAGAACTTCTATTGTTTAATATTGTTCAGGTTCTATTGTTTAATAAACCGTTTTTTCCACTTTCTCCAAGGAGATATTTTATTTTTCCCGAACCAGTTGGGGAAGAGGCCAATTGAATCTGCTTTTCTAGAGGAACCCCTTTGAGGGTTCTGTCCCAAATTTGGCCTGAACTGAACACCCAGAAGAACACCAGCAGCTCACATCTGTGGCCACCTGGCTGGGCCTGGGCCACAGCATTTCCAGCACCAGAGGGACTGATAAGAGACTGATAAGAGACTGATCAGAGTCTGAGTGAGCCAAGCTACAGCCCACAGAAGGGATTTTCTGAGTTTGTCATCTCCTTTGCAGCGGCAAGAACTTTTATTGTTTAATATTGTTCAGGTTTTATTGTTTAATAACACTTTTCTCCAAGGAGGTATTTTTCCCAAACCAGCTGGGGAAGGGGCCGATTGAATCTGCTTTTCTAGAGGAAGTCCTTTGGGGGTTCTGTCCCAAATTTGGCCTGAACTGAACACCCAGAAGAACACCAGCAGCTCACATCTGTGGCCCACCGGGCCCAGTCTGGGCCACAGCATTTCCAGAGCCAGAAGGACTGACCACAGACTGATAAGGGTCTGATAAGAGATTGAGTGAGCCAAGCTACAGCCCACAGAAGGGATTTTCTGAGTTTGTCTCTCTTTTGGAGCAGCAAGAACTTTTATTGTTTAATATTGTTCAGGTTCTATTGTTTAATAAACAGGTTTTTTCCACTTTCTCCAAGGAGATATTTTATTTTCCCCGAACCAGTTGGGGAAGGGGCCAATTGAATCTGCTTTTCTAGAGGAACCCCTTTGAGGGTTCTCTCCCAAATTTGGTCTGAACTGAACACCCAGAAGAACACCAGCAGCTCACATCTGTGGCCACCTGGCTGGGCCTGGGTGGTGGCATTTCCAGCACCAGAGGGACTGATAAGAGACTGATAAGAGACTGATCAGAGACTGATCAG